TGCAGTGGATATATCAAAATTCTCTTTAATCATAACTAACCATGGCATAGATTTATCGATTGTATAATTAATTATTGGTGTGAATTGATCCAGGTGTGTCATAGTAATAATCATTAGTGCATGCATGAAATTTCACACTAATGATCACAATTATGATGCACTAGTATTGCTTTATCAATTATTTACTGTACTTATTCGTTTGATCGAGTTTTGTCAGATTAGTTAAAATCGTTGATGTACGCATCAAATTCACATTAGTGATTATAACTAAACATAATGAATTAAAATAAATTGTTTACTGTGCACAGCTTATAATGTAATAGTGCGGTTATAACAGTATAAAAGCTGTATTGCGCAAGTACAGTACATGGTACTTTACCGTACTAAGTACTGTAATAACTTTGCCCATAAGCGAAGGCATTTTAGAAAAATATAAATGTCTTCAGGTAAGACCGAGGTGAGACACTGTCGCCGCCTCGTTCGGGAAGGGAGAGGGAGGCCGTAGCCACGCTTCCTGTGGTCAGAAAACCCTAACCTACAAATAATTCTTAACCCTATACTTACCTATGCGCCGGATATATCCGGCGCTTAGAACAATGGGAGTATCCTATGTGCCGGATATATCCGGCGTAAATCCATACGTATTAAGTTAGTTCTGGATACTAGGGCTTCAGTACCACTGGATACTGAGTCCTATCATCTCTTTCATCATACAAAGTACTTTAATTTGGTACCTATAATATTCTTGTACTGTGCACATGTCGTTCTGTATGAAAATATATATATAGCAGTATGGTGCAAAGGTTAGTTCGTTTACTTTTTCAGTTGATCACTGAACTTCGTTATGGCAGCTTTTGGAGACGACAGTGTTTTTAACCTTCATGCCCTTGGAGCTATCGCTGAATGCTATGAAAATAGTGACGACGACATCTCTGACCATGCAGACCTACTTCCTGAAGCCAGCGATCAAGATTTTACGATGGCTAATAGAGACTACGCAACGACGGACATCGATCACGAAGTTGAAGAAATTTCTGAAAGTGTAACGCCATGGGCTAATACTTACAATTGGCATCCTAGCGAAAATTCAGTAGCATTTCCTCACGAATTTACCGGAAATAGTAGCATTAACGTCCCTATTGATGGATTTCAGCCTATAGACTTCTTCAACATGTATTTAACTACAGCACTAGTCGATCTCATGGTTCGCGAAACAAATAGGTACGCAGGGCAGTACATAAGACAGCATCCGAATCTGTCTCGGTATTCTTTAG